TAAAGTACATGCAGTATTTGGGGAGTTTTTTTTTTTTTTTTTAAGATTTTATTTATTTGGCAGACAGAGATCACAAGTAGGCAGAGAGGCAGGCAGAGAGAGAGGGGCGGCCCCCTGAGCAGAGAGCCCGATACTGGGCTCAATCCCAGGACACTGGGATCATGACCTGAGCTGAAGGCAGAGGCTTTAACCCACTGAGCCACCCAGGCGCCCCATTTGGGGAGTTCTTATACTAAAAAATTATTTGTTGTTTATCTGAAATTCAAATTTAACTGGAGGTCCTGGGTTTTGTTTTTCTTTCTTAATCTGACAACTCTAATATTAAAGTATTCTAATACATTCTATTACTATGAAAGAAAGAAAGAATATTGGTGGCTTCTTTCTGTTCATCCTTTTATTTTGATTTGGAAAGTGTGGAATGGTAGGATTTATTGACTATGAGCTATAGTAGTGAAGTGACAATGGATAGTCCTCAAATGCTAAAAATTATTTCCTATATATTTTACAAATTAGAGATTCATTTAGAATACCAGGTCTCTTTGAAAAGAAAGGCACATATTAAATTAGGTATTCCCTAATGTATATTACTTTAATCAGACTACATAAAAATCTAATTACAAAACTTTGTGGGTAGAGGGTATTGTTAAGTGAAATAAGTCAGAGAAAGGCAAATGAATAAAAAACAAAAAGCAGAATCAAATCTGTAAATACTGAGAACAAGCTGATGGCTGCCAGAGGGGAGAAGGATAGGAGATGGGCAAAATGGGGGGAAGGGAGTGGGAGATACATGCTTCTGGTCCTGGAATGAGTAAGTCACAGGAACAAAGGGCACAGCATAGGGAATATGGTCAATGATAGTGTAAGAGTGTTGTATGGTGCCAGATGGTAGATACCCTTGTGGTGAGCTCAGTGTAAGACAGAGTTGTGTTGAATCACTATGCTATACAACTGAATTAATGTAACATTGTGTGTCAACTATACTCAGATATTTTTTTTGATATGAAAACAAAGCAATACTGTGCCTATAGTTCCTCTCAGTAAAAATTTCCTAGAACCAAGTCCCCCATGCTTCCACTAGGTGGGATATATGGTCTCCATATCTAAATATTATATAAATACATATATATTTTTTGCATATCTCATTTTGCACATCTTTTAATGTTTGACTTATTCCTGAGTTCTCACATATGTTTCTACATTCAAACTGTTGCGGTATCATGTGTTACTTAGCTTCTAGAAAATTATACATTTGGAGCACCTGGGTGGCTCAGTCGGTTAAGCATCCAACTGCTGCACAGGTTATGATCTCAGGGTCCTGGAGATGAGCCTAGGATCAGGCTCCTTGCTCAGCGGGGAGCCTGCTTCTCCCTCTCCTGCTGTCCCCCTGCTTCTGCTCTATCTCTCTCTCTCTGTCAAATAAATAAAATCTTCAGGAAAAAAGATTATACATTCATGAGAGAATGAGAATGGAAAAAGGTACATTTATTATTAAAACATATTTTTTTTCGGTATAGACCCCTGCAAGGATCTCAGGGACTTCTCAGCATTCCCCGACCACACTTTGATGACCTCTGTTCTAGATAATATATTTAGCTATGGAAATTAAAGACTCAATAGAAACTCTAGAAAAAAAGATTCTTTAAAAAAACACCCTTCATCTAAAAGATTAGTAATTCTACTGTGTCATCACATCTAGTTTGTGTTCATATTTCTCTTTTTGTCTCATAATTTTCTTATAGTTTGTTGATACCGAGTCAAACAAGGTTCACATATTATATTTAGTTGATATGCCTTTCAAATTTTAATCTATTGGTTCCTCTTCCCTTTTTTCTTTGAAGTTTATTAGTTGAAGAAACTGGGTCATTTGTTCTTGTATAGTTTCCGTCATTCTGGTCTTGGCTGAGTGCATCTCTGTGGTATAGTTTAACATGTTTCTCAATCTCTGTATTTCCTGTAAATTTGTAGTTAGATCTCTAGAGCTTTGATTAGATTTGGCGTTCTTTTTTGGCTAGACTTCTTAAGTGTCAATGTGTACTTTCTTCCACGAAGGAGGATGTCCTTTGTGATGTTAGAATCACTCTGTTCTGACTTGCATTTCCAGGGTCTGTTTAGGTTTTGTCTGCATAATTCATACATTATATTAGATCTTCTCTAATGATTTTAGGATCTATTGCTAATTGTTGCCCTAATCTATCAGTTGATATTAGAAAAGGTGATAGATATTCTAATAATCAAGGCTGTTGGCTGAGATTCTTCAGTCGAAGGAGATCCTTTCCTCATCTATTCCATTAATTTGAAATACCATTTGCATACAAAGGACCAGAATAAAATTTTGGATAATTTTTTCTCTATATCTAGAAATTTCCAGAATAATTAATTGGTTACCTAGAAACCTCCAAAGATGATTCAAGAGTTTGGTTTTTTCATTTTCTGGTTTTCTTTAGTATTTTGAATTTATGATTTTTTGCCTTCTATTCACCATTCTTTTCAGATGTTCAAAGGGTCCTATCTTTTTTTTTCTTTTTTAAGATTTTATTTATTTATTTGACAGACAGAGATCACAAGTCGACAGAGAGGCAGGCAGAAAGAGAGGGGGAAGCAAGCTCCCCGTTGAGCAGAGAGCCTGATGTGGGGCTCGATCCCAGGACCCTGAGATCGTGATCTGAGCCAAATGCAGGGGCTTTAACCCACTGAGCCACCCAGGCACCCCAGGGGCCTATCTTTTTGACAAGTGGAAGCCCTTTCATAACTGGCTCCCTTGTCTGTGGTACAACCTCAGCAGATTTTGATAGTTTACTTGTTTCCTGGAGCAAGATGTGTTAACCTCATCTTGTACATTTCTTTCTTCAGGCATGGAATCAGGTATGTGACACTAATTTTTTTCAGTGGGAAATGGTATTTAGAGATCATAATCTGGGTGACATTTATGTTTATTCCTAAAAGGTTGTCATTGTTTATAGACCTTTTGGTGTATGGAGCTAGGAAAACTGTTTTTTGGGTTTTTTTTTTAAATGTATTTTATAGAAAGGAAAATTATTCATGAGTTCCAGATGCTACTTCAGATTCATTTATAATATTACAGAGATTGGAGCACCTGAATGGCACAGCTGGTTTGGTGTCCTACTCTTGGTGTTGGCTCAATCATGATCTCAAAGTCATGAGTTTGGGCCCCATGTCAGGCTCTATACTCAGTATGGAGTCTACTTGAGGATTCTCCCTTCCTCTGCCCCTTTTGCTCATGCTCTCCATCTCATGCTTGATTACGGAGATTACGGAGATTTTAACTTTATCTTTTTATTCTACATTTTCTTAAACTGAAAATACTGGTTCCAACAATATGATTATGAAATCACAAGATTTTAGGGAGGACTTGTTCTGTTTTATTAGAAAATTGGGGCCTAAAATGCCTAGCGGGGTCAGGTAGCTGAACAAATGAGTGGGGCCTGTTGTGAGAATCGACAGGGAATGACAGGGGCTGATGATGAACTGGAGAGCGTATGTTCCACCTAATGGAAGCATGTGTGATTTGGTTTTAGGTAATTTTTATTGAGAGGAACTATAGGCACAGTATTGCTTGGTTCTCACATTTAAAAAATTTTTTTTTCATTTGAGTGTAGTTGACACACAATGTTACACTAATTTCAGTTGTATAGCATAGTGATTCAACACAACGCTGTCTTACACTGAGCTCACCACAATGTATCTACCATCTGGCACCATACAACACTCTTACACTATCATTGACCATATTCCCTATGCTGTGCCCTTTGTTCCTGTGACTTACTCATTCCGGAACCAGAAGCATGTATCTCCCACTCCCCTACACCCATTTTGCCCATCTCCTATCCTTCTCCCCTCTGACAGCCATCAGCTTATTCTCTGTATTTATAGATTTGATTCTGCTTTTTGTTTACTTTTTTATTCATTTGTTTTTTTCAGATTCTACATATGAGTGAAATCATATATTTGCCTTTTACTGACTTATTTCACTTAACATAATACCCTCTAGGTCCATTTATGTTGTCACAAACAGCATAACCTCATCCTTTTTTTGGCTGTATGTAATATTCCAGTATATGTATTTTTATGCTTTTTAATATTTTTATATTTTATATATGTTTTTTATATATATCACATTTTCCTTATTCACATCCATTATCCATTCCTTTATATATATCACATTATCCTTATCCATTTCCTTATCCATTTATATATATCACATTTTCCTTATCCATTTCCTTATCCTTTCCTTATCCATTTCCTTATCCATGAATGGAAGGAAAATGTTGACACTAATGTTGTTTCCATATCTTGACTCTTTGTAAATAAGGCTGCAATAAAAAAGCGTGTGTATATTTTTTTGAATTAGTGTTTTGTTTTCTTTGGGTAAATACCCAGTAGTGGAATTACTGAATCATATGGTTATTCTATTTTTAATTTTTTGAGAGACCTCCCTACTGTTTTCTACAGTGGCTGTACCAATTTACATTCCCACCAGTAGTGTATGAGGATTCCTTTTCCTCCACATCCTTGCCAACACTTACTATCTGTTTTGATTTTAGCCATTCCGACAGGTACAAAGTCATATCTCATGGTTTTGATTAGCATTTCCTGCGCCTCTTCCTGCTGTGCTCTCTCTCTTTCAAATAAATAAAATCTTAAAAGAAAAACAAAGAGTTAAATAAATATTGACAACTAATTCAAAATTTTAAAAGGGCTAAACAAGTATTTTCTGCCATAGGCTTTTAGTTTGTGACTTTTTGTGGAAAAGCTCTAAGGAACTGATGGTTAAGCAAGCTAGCCTTTCAGATTCTTCTAGACCTCAGGCAACCTGAGAACTGCAATGGGAAAGAGCAGGAGGAAGAGGACTTAATCATCTTGATTTTGCTAATTGCGATGCATTTATTTATCTAACTTCTCTTTTTAAACTTTAAAAAAATTTTAAATAGCTTTATTGAGCATTCATTCTGCTTTTTGTTTCTTTTTCAAATTCAAAATAGGAACTGACGACATCTCAGGAAAGTGGTGGAAATGTTCTTCAGATGATGTATGAGAAACCTGAACGATGGTCTTTTACCTTCCAGTCATATGCCTGCCTCAGTCGAATACGAGCCCAGCTTGCCTGTCTTGATGGCAAGCTCAAAAACGCAGAGAAACCTGTATTATTTTTTGAGCGATCTATATATAGTGACAGGTATATATAAATGTCTTGCACTTGTAATTCTGGAATCGTGGCATGGAACTGGAATTTTTTTTCTATTTCTGGTAATCAAAGGAGTAAGAGGCTATGCTGAGGATTTGAGATGGAACATTTCCTTTAGCAGTTTGGTAATCGTGGCATTAGGGAAGTTCTAGCATTAATAATCGCTAGCTTCCATGGAGACTTTGGGGACTATGGTAGCCATATCATTCAGATTTATGGAGAAGTTTTTTTTCTTCCAACCCTTTTAAAATCTTCATCTACCCTGGTTAAATCTGGGTCTGTATTCAAGACTTGCTTCTTGAGCAAGATCAGAAATCTCTAAGGGGGCCTTAGAGTTACCCTGCTTATGTAAGGATTTTTTAAGCTAGAGAGTTGGCGCAAAACAAATATTCACAAACTTTGGTCACAGGATCCCTTTCCATGCTTTATAATTATTGAAGAGCCCAAAGAGCTTTGTGTCTTATTGATATTCATGTTAAAAATTAAGATTGATGAATATAAAGAACATTTACTAATTTATTTAAAATTAGTAATATAAACCCATTACATATTAGCTTTAATAACATACTTATAAAAATTATATTTTTCAAAACAAAGAAATTAGTGAGAAGAGGCTTGTATTGTATTTTGCAAATCTCTGTAATGTCTAACTTAATGGGAGACAACTGGATTCTCATTTATGCTTCTATATTCAATCTGTGTACCATGTTCTTTTGGTTGAAGTATTGTACATACAGTAATCTGGCCTCTCACGGGACACTTGGAAAGACCTTGGGGACTACCAGGGGTCACGACCCTACCTTTTTGAGAACTGATGGCCAAGAACATATTTCTTGTAGTTGGAGATACTCTATTAATTTTTTTTCTGCTAACTTATTATCTGCCATGGATTCTGGGAGAATGTTCCATGTCCATTTAATAGATTTATTTTCTCTTTTCTGTTTGTGTTTTGTGGAAAGGAATCATGTTTTGATGTAGACTCTCTTTCAGGTATGTCTTTGCATCTAATTTGTATGAATCTGACTGCATGAATGAAACAGAGTGGACAATTTATCAAGACTGGCATGACTGGATGAATCAACAGTTTGGCCAAAGCCTTGAACTAGATGGAATCATTTATCTTCGAGCCACTCCAGAGGTGAGACTCAGTAAAAATTTGCTTGCTGTGGCACCTGGGTGACTCAGTTAAACGTCTGTCTTTGGCTCAGGTCATGATTCCAGAATCCCAGGATCGAGCCCCATGTCAGCTCCCTGATGCTCAGTGAAGAGTCTGCTTCTCCCTCTCCTTCTGCCCCTCCGCCCTGTGTGCGCACGCTCTCTCTCTCACTCACTCTTTCTCTCAAATAAAATCTTCAAAAAAAGTGTTTTTAAAAAATTTGCTTGCTCCACTGACAATTTAAAGTAATATTTAGAAGTCCTTTTAGTGGTATGCAGTGAAGGCAATTTAGTTCAACTCCACTCCCTACTCTTTATTTCCCACATCCAAATTAGAAACTGTGTAGATAGGAAGATTCTCTTTTCTCAGCAAAGAAGAAACCCAGATTTGTCAAGTTGCTCTTTTAGGCCCTACTCTGTGCTTCCTCAGTTTTGTTCTTCATTATTTCTTCCTAACTTTGGCAAGGTCTCTTATCTATCACAGCTAGATTTAAAAATTTGCTCAATGGGGCACCTGGGTGGCTCAGTGGGTTAAGCCTCTGCCTTTGGCTTAGGTCATGATCTCGGAGTCTTGGGATCGAGCCCCACATCAGGTTCTCGGCTCAGCAGGGAGCCTGCTTCCCCCCCCCCCTCTGCCTTCTGCTCTGCCTACTTGTGATCTCTCTTTCTCTCTCCCTCTGTCAAATAAATAAATAAAAATCTTTAAAAGAAATTTTGCTCAAGCAACCCTTAGAATATAGGTTTCTTTTCTTTTCTTTTTTTTTTTTTTTTAGAAGATTTTATTTATTTTTTTTGTGAGAGAGAGAGCACAAGTAGGCAGAGTGGCAGGCAGAGGCAGAGAGAGAAGCAGGCTCCCTGTTGAGGAAGGAGCCCGATGTAGGACTCGATCCCAGGACCCTGAGATCATGACCCGAGCTGAAGGCAGCCACTTAACCGAATGAGCCAACCAGGCGTCCCAGAATATAGGTTTCTCGGTGTGAGACCAGATATTTTAGTTACTGTTGAATTTCCATTGCTTAGAATAAGGCCTAGGTACATAGTAGGAGCTCAGCAAATACTTGTGAGTGAATTGCAAAGATGATGGAAGTCCATTTCAAGAAATCTTTTATGTTTTCATAGTAGCTTCAGTTGAGAAGAGAGTTAGAGAACCCTTGCCATTTTCAGTTAAGGAAGCTTACTTGAGAATGTGACTTTCATTATAGATTATAACATCGCCATTCTTCTTTTTTTTTTTAAGATTATATTTATTTTGGTTTATTTGTGAATTGTGCTGTGAATTGTGTAAGACTGATGATTCACAGACCTGTACCCCCAAAACAAATAATACATTATATGTTAAAAAAAAAAAGATTGTGTTTGTTTTTTATTTTATTTTTTACATTTTTAGATTTTATTTATTTATTTGACAGAGATAGCAAGAGAGGGAACACAAGCATGGGGGAGCTGGACAGGAGAAGCAGGCTGGAGAGGGAAAAGCTGGCTGGAGAGGGAGAAGCAGGCTCCCACTGAGCAGGGAGCCCTATGCTGGGCTCCGTCGCAGGACCCTGGGTTCATGACCTGAGCCGAAGGCAGACGTCTAATGACTGAGCCACCTAGGCATCCCGAATATTGTATTTATTTATCTGAGAGAGAGAGAGAGAGAGAGAGAGAGAGAGAGAGAGAGAGAATGAGAGCACAAACAGGGAGGAGTGGGAGAAGCAGTTGCCCTCCTGAGCAGGGAGCCCAATTCAGGGCTCGATCCCAGGACCCGGGATCATGCCCTGAGCTGAAAGCAGATGCTTAACTGAGTGAGCCATCCAGGCGCCCCCATTCTTGTTTATATATGAAATTATGTAATGAATCCAGGAAGTGGATTCCTTCCGTAAAGCTAACCTAACTAAGAGCTTACTTATTAACAGATTTCTGGTTTTCCTGCTTCCATTCCAGTTTTTATGTTTTTTATTCCCCTGTCTTCCCTAAACCACAGAGTAGGCTCTGATGAATATGAATGTCATGACTACTAGCCAGAAAGAATGCTGTGTTGCTACTGAAGCTGAATTTTCAAAGAAACTAGGTTTCTGATTCCAACTGATGATTTTGTTCTTCTTTTTAATATCAAGAAAGCCAGAATTTAATAATAATTTTGAAATTCACTTCTATTTTTTAAAATAATTTTTGTTTTTAATTACAAAAATAGTAAATGCAAATGTAGAACATAAAGAATATAATAATTTCATTTTGCTAGAAAATATAGTATCTTCAAGTCTGTAAACACAAAACTTTATTTCATCAAAATTATTTATAATATCTTTTGATTGTAGGATATTTAAGTATTTGAAAAGAGGATTTATAATAAATTTTGAAGCACAGTTTGTGTATTGAACTTCTTACCAAACTTACTTTATACAGTATTTTTTAAATAGGGATCCCATAAGTTTATAGATTTATTCTGAAAGTACTACTTGGTTTAGAACCACCAAATGGTTAAAACCACCAAATTTTTCCACAAGGAGGAAAAAAATGAACTATTTCAATTTTCTGGAAGGCATAAATGGAGATTTGTCTAGCATAACTAAAAAGACACTAGAGAAGAAAAATTTAATGATCGCAGACAAGAATAATTGTTCCTTGCCCCCAACCCCTTTCTTTCTGTTTGCTTTTAGAAATGCTTGAATAGAATATATTTACGGGGAAGAAATGAAGAACAAGGCATTCCTCTTGAATATTTAGAGAAGCTTCACTATAAGCATGAGAGCTGGCTACTGCATAGAACACTGAAGTAAGACTTCCTTATACTTACTATTTATTTTAAAGACCTTTATCAAATTTTAATCTAAAACATGTACAGATTTTCATTTTCAGCCATTTTTATTTTAAACTAGTATTATAGGATCTCCCAGATTAGGTGTGAGTTTTGGTTCTTTTTTATTTTAATGAGATCCTAATTTTCTTAAAATTTTTTTTTTTTTAAGATTTTATTTATTTATTTGACAGACAGAGATCACAAGTAGGCAGAGAGGCAGGCAGAGAGAGAGGAGGAAGCAGGCTCCCCGCTGAACAAAGAGCCGGAGCCTGATGCGGGGCTCTATCCCAGGATCCCGGGATCATGACCTTAGCCAAAGGCAGAGGCTTTAACCCACTGAGCCAGCCAGGCGCCCCTATTTTCTTAAAATTTTTGTAGTTAATCTCCTCCAGTGGTATTGACAGCCTAATATATGGAATTTAAATGGTAAAGTTGGAAATTTGAGTGCATTACTTAGGTACTCTTTTTCAGAGAGAATTTAAGATAAGATACTTCAAATTTAATTTTTAGATCAAGGCTTTGGAGGTAGTATAGCACAGTTGTTAACAGCACAGACTTTGTTGTCATTATTAGTCAGATCTTGGGTCAAATCCCAGTTTGTTAGTGTGTAACCTTAGGCATCCTTTGAACCTTAGAGTGACTTCCTTGAGCTTTAGTTTTCTCATCTTCTCAATGCAAACATTCCTTACTTTATGGGAGTTTTTGGTTTTTGAGAAGAATTACATGTCACAATGCCTAGCTTTATTTTTTTATACTTGAGATTTTTAGTTACTATTAGTATTATTATATAGTAGTAAGTCTAGGGGAGAAAGAAGGGGTTTCCAGGTATTTGCTGGATAAATTTAATGTAAAATGACTGACAACATTTTGATTTTCCAGAGATAATACAGGAGTGAATTTTTAGTGCTTGTCTTTTATTTATTGCTTTTTCTAATTATTTAGTTCATCTCTCTCTTTTTTAAAACAGAACCAACTTTGATTTTCTACAAGAAATCCCTATCTTAACATTGGATATTAATGAAGACTTTAAAGACAAACATGATGGTCTGATTGAAAAGGTAGATTTATACAAAGACTATACACTAACATGTGATTTGTCTTGTCTAGAAGTATTATAACTTGTGAAAAAGTGATTTTCTAAGAGAAAAATATAGATAAAATTACAGTAAGAGACAGTTAAGAGCTTTAGAGGGATTTATACCTCAAATTCTAATCCTAAATTTAAATTCTAGCTTAGTGGCCTTACCTAGAATGAGGAGGTTCTTTTATCTATTAATCCCTTTATCTGTAATATAGGGATAATCACATTAACGAAAATTCTTGCTCACCCCCTTCTCTCTGCTTTGTTCCCTCTTCTTCCCCTCTTCCTCCATCACCAGTCTTTAGGTAGTTGAATAATAAACTACTTGTGAAATTAAATTCATCTTTTGCAACTAAATTCAGTATGGAAGATATTTGAAGTTGTAGGTTAAAGATTTCATCCATTTTTATATGCGCTAAAGTCTTGAGATTAAAGGATTTTTAGTTTTGACTTTATGTGGGACCTTGTCAATGATGAATTGGCATTGCCTGATCATCAAGTCATTGTTTTAATCAGAGTTCAGCTATCCTCTACATGTTTGGGAGCTGATTATACTCTGTTAAAGAGTGACACCTGTACTGATAAAGGGACTGGGAGAAAATCTATTGATGTGCACTTGAGAGAGAATAGTAATGGGGATTGTATAATAAATATCCTACTATCCATATTAATTAACTTAGTGATGATCCAAGATCTAAACACAAAGCCATATTTTTTTGGTTTGTTTAGTATTAAGAGAAATTTAATTTTTTTCTCCTTCATAAAATGCCTGCTTATTTACTATAACAGAAACCTGACGTTCATAAAAATATCAAGAATTTTGAAAATCTCAACATTTATTATTAACTACTCTGTAGCATATGATTGCTTTTCTAATGATAGAAAAAAGTAGAGCATATCTGGAAAATTCAGATGACCTCTTTATACCATAATGATGTTAAAAATACAGGATATAATTCATTTATAATACTATGAAAATAAATGAAATAAAATTAAATCAGCCATTGTAATTCTAACAGCCAACCAACATTTTAACTGAGTCAATCTGTAAAACCACTTTTTTATTTTATCTAACACTTCTGTGTTTTGACTAACAATAGTCTTTAAATGTTATTGTTTACATTTACTTTCATTAATAATGCTAATAATTGGCCTTTTTTTTCCCTTATTGAAATACATAACTGACATACAATGTTATATATAATTTCAGGTATACAGCATATTGATTCGACAAGTCTATATATTACCCAGTGCTTGCTACCATAAGTATAGTCATCATCTGTCACCATATGACGTTATTACAATAGTTATTTTTTAGGAATTTTTTACAAGGCAATAATCTTTGTTTCTTCAGAAGAATTATTGCATCATCTAGAATTTATGGAGAACAGAATCTTTTTGCATTGTGATGTTGGTCAGTTGGTTAGGTCCATTCACAACTTACATGACCTTTCCTTGCACATTAACATTACAGATTTGCATACATGATTCAGATTTGTGCTTCAGAAAAATTACAAGTTTTAGGTGTCTGGACCTTTGAGAGTTGTTTAAACCATCACAATTACTAATATTTTTGGTGCTAAAGCTGCATGTCAGTGATCAATGTTACTATAAAGAGATTATGAAATTTGTGTTATGCCTGTTAGAGAACTGTATCAATCTTAGATGTAAATTTAATAACTCCTGTAGTGACATTTTAGGTCATTTATCTTTTACTACTGAAGTATTAATATATCTTTTGAAAATAAATGCTATGGCTTTGTGTTGGAGTTACTTATACAGTTGGGGTCTTCAGCAGTTATTACTATTAAATAGAGATGAATACAAGTCATTTCAAATTAACCAAGGAATTACATTAATATTTATTTCCTCCCCTCAGGTCAAAGAATTTTTGAGCACTTTGTGATTTTGCTGAAGACTACAGGCAGCCAGATGATTCCAGGTACTTCAGCTTTGAGTATCTTCGTAGCTCAGTATTCATACAAGTCTCTAGAAAACCCAGGTTTTTTACCATTTTTGTTCCAAGAAAAAAATTGTTTTGATGAATTCTATGTAAAAGTTTATGAGCTGTTTCTTTTCTTTTTTGCCTTAAAAAAAATAAGACATCTAATTATCTCTCACAACAAAAGGTCTGGAGGTAGATGGTTCCAGAGTAAGTACTGCCTAAACTACATCACAAAGGACCCAGCCTCCTCCTGTCTTTCCCCGTATTACTCTCCTCAGCAGGTTGGCTTCCCCCTCCCCTCACCAGTTTCTTAACTGGGAACTTTAATGTTACAGAGTAAATGGTAATGTTCCCAGTGTAAATTAATGTACCTATTACAAGCTGAAAAGTGGAATTTAAGGAACCCCTATAAAAGGATTATGAAGTTTTAAATACTTTTGATCAAGTGTCTCCCCTACCATCTTAATTTATGTGGAAGATAAGACCATTTTAGTATTTAATCACTTCAGTGATATTTATGAATGTCTCTATAATTCATTCATAAAGGAGCAGGTCAGACTTTGCTCCCATTTTGTAATGGCATAAACTATCTTATAAGTATTTAATCTTTTTTTCTGCTTTTGTTTCCACATCTGTGGTATGGGTGAGACTACATCTTTTTCCATGGGATTTTAGAGGATTAAACCAGAAATGATAACTCAAAATGTTTCTGTACTTAAAAGATAAATGAGGGGTGCCTGGATGGCTCAGTTGCTTAAGTGTCTGCCTTTGGCTCAGGTCATGATTCTAGGGTCCTGGGATCGAACCCCACATCAGGCTCCCTGCTCAGTGGGAAGCCTGCTTCTCCCTCTCTTACTCTCCCTTGCTTGTGCTCTTTTTCTCACTGTCTCTCTCTCTGGCGGTTAAATAGATTAATAAAATCTTTAAAAAAAAAAAAACCAACTTCTAAAAAAAAAAAGAGAGAAAACAGTATAAAGATTCAATTTATATGGAGCCTGAAATAGCTACCTACATTCTCTCAGACCATTCTTTTAGAATGGACTATTACTCTTATAGTTAAAAGATTGGTTTAAAATATGATTATCTTTAACTCATTGGAGGTAAAGGTATAGTTTTCCCTAAATTTCTTCCCATTTTTATAGGTAAAAATTTAGTGGAACAGAGCAAGGGATAAGTTTTTCTATTTTATTTTTTGTTGACCCTGTGCTGGGAATGAGTAGTTTTCATTACCTTTATAGTTGGTGAGAGTCAGAAGAGAAATTGAAGACAAGACAAGATGATCTTCTTAGCAGGATAGTCTCTTTTATTCCAGTTCTTACTTCCTGCTGTACCCTGCTTTCCTTACTGTCTGGATTAATTAGGCAGCCTGCTATTTTCTTCTTCTTCTTCTTTTTTTTTTTTTTTTAAGTAATCTCTATACCCATCGTGTGTCTCCAAGTCATGACACCAAGATCAAGAGTTGCATGCTCTTCTGACTGAGCCAGACCGGCACCCTGGTAGCCTGCTATTTTAAAGTTTAAATGAAAGTCACACATTTCTACTTTGAGAACATCATGACCACTCGTCACTTCACAGTTTGCTTTGCTTCTCTGTAGGGTTCTACCCTAGGGTTTTTTTCCTTCTCCTTTAAATGACTGATAAAAATCATCTTGTTTTATATGTTCTGTATCTTGAAAGCATTGTCATTTTTGTTAAATATATATTAGGAAATATATATAATAATGAAGACAAGGAGGTAGAATAGTTGTAATTTTTAAAAGCTGCATGGGTTGATTTTATTAGGTCTGTAGATAAAGTTTTTTTTTTTTTCTCAAGTTTGTTTAGGTAAGGTGTGCAGTGTTTTTTCTATGTATTTAATCTTTCTACTTGACATTTTGGAAAAATTCTGTTTGAAAGGAGGGGAAGAGTCACTTTAACTTTGAAACTCATTTTCCTTTTTAAAATGTCATTTTTTGTTTTCATTTTTAGGTAATCAAGGATGATAATTTTGTGGGTTAAACATTCCAGATGCACTGATCTTTGAAAGGGAGACTTTGTCTCAAGTCCTACACTCACCATGAATATTGAAACTATTTCATGATATTGTACAGGGTTTTTTTGTTTGTGTGTGATACAAATGAATTTTCGTACTAAATATTAGCTTAATAAATAAGTATAAACCTCATGTACTGTGATGGAGCTATTTAAAATTAAAAATTCTACTTTTAAAGAAAAAAATTATGAATATCAAAAAGTGACTGGTTTAAATAACATTGATTCTGTTTTAAGTGAAGACATAGAGATAGAGACATTAGAGATTTTTAGTAACCTCTAGAAATGTTTACCTTAATGCCTTTTTTAATCTCTTTTAGTCTCTCTCTCTCTGTGTCAAATAAATAAATAAATAAATAAATAAAATCTTAAAAAAAAAGTGTGTTTAGGTTTTTAAGAAATTTCATAATTGTCTCCCAAAATGGTTGTATCATTTTGTTGTTTTACTAGTAACGAATGTGAGTTCCTGTTGCCTCACAACCTTGCCAGTACTTGATATTGTCAGTGGTTTGGATTTTGGCCATTCTAATAGGTATATTGTATCTCATTTTAATTTGCAGTTTCCTAATGACATGATATAACCATCTTTTTAAATGTTTATTTGCCATCTGTATATCTTTGGTGAGGTGTCTTTTTCTTTGGCCCATTTTTAATTGGGTTCATTTTCATATTGAGTTTTAAGAGTTCTTTGTATACTTCAGATAACAGTCCTTCATTTTTTAATTTTTTTATTAACATATAAGGTATTATTTGTTCCAAGGATATAGGTCTTACACAATTCACAGTGCTCACCATAACACATACCCTCCCCAGTGTCCATCCCCCAGCCACCCCATCCCTCCCAACCCCCTCCACTCCAGCAACTCTCAGGTTCAGATAATAGTCCTTCATCAAATGTGACATTTGGAAATATTTTCTCCCAGTCCATTGTTTATCTTACTCTCTTGACATTGTTTTTCACAGAACAGACATTTTTAATTTTAATGAAGTCCAGCTTATTAATTATTTCTCCTGTGTATTTTATCTTATGTCGTTTCTTTTTTTTGTTGTTTTGGGGGGGTTTTTTGGTCCTGTATCTTGTGTTGTTTCTAAAAAGTCATTGCCATACCCAAGGTCATCTAGGGTTTCTCCTGTGTTACCTTCTAATAGTTTTAGAACTATATTTTACATTTAGGTCTCTGATCCATTTTGAATTAATTTTTGTGAAGGGCGTAGAGTCAACATCTAGATTCCTTTTTTTGTTTCTGGATGTCCAGTTGTTCCAGCATCATTTGTTGGAAAGATAATCTTCGCTTCACCGTATTGCCTTTGCTCCTTTGTTGAAGATCAGTTGACTATGTATACATTGATCTGTTTGTCTATCCTTTTGCCATACTGTCTTGATTAGCTTTATATTAAGTCCTGAAATTGGGTAATTTTGTGTTTCCTAGAGGCCTGAGCTACTTAGGTTTAGTAATACTTTGGAGACTTTTTAAGGCTATATCCTAATAAAGTTTTTTTTTATTTTAAGTATTTATTTGTACAACGAAAACTTTTCTCATCTTCAGTTAGTTGAATTAATTTTTTTCCTGATCCTGTGTAGTTCCTTACAATGTTGCCATTAATTATAAAGCGTATTAGTACTGAGATTAGTAATGCCAAATCCAGTCTTCCCCTGTAAGAACTTTTTAGTTAATAACTTTTTGCCATAATATGTCTTGGAAAGTTATATCACTTTACATGCAATCACCCTTTTTGCTCTCTTGGTACAAAGACTTTCTCTACACCAAAATACACTAAACAAGTATGCCATACAAGTCAATACTTAAGCATTACCATCTCAGACAAAAACATACTAAATTTACTTAACACTTTCTGTACAGAGGTTATCATTTAGAAAACATGAATTATGCATCAGGCTATTTTGCGTTGCATAGGTTATGTCAAATGAGAGGAATGAAGAGGTTGCATCTTCCAGGACTTTAGTCTGTTATGTGCAGATGACATGTCTATGTGTTTTGAAGTTCCCTAGAGGTTTTTGTTGTTGCTGTCGTGTTATAAGTTAGTTTTAAGTGCAGTTTGAATTATTAGTCCCCAAAAGGGTGAAAAATTGGTGGGGATACATGGTACAGAAAGCAGAATTTATCTCCCAAAGAATGATTTCTTTATTCCTCTCCTCCACTAACCACCACCCACTATCAAGTTTTCCATCTTGGCAAGTATAATAAACATATTTTACAATATATTTTACATGCAGTCCATATTGTTTATTGCTTATAAACTTGTTCTTACTCAGTTGATGCTTTTTTGGTACCTTGGTATAGAATATCATGTAATCTTGGAATATAAAATAATATATCCTATTAAAATTAATGGGAAAATTTTTCATTTAAAACTTTTTACTTAGTGGGGCACCTGGGTGGCTCAGCAGTTAAGCCATCTGTCTTTGGCTCGTGTTATGATCCCAGGGTTCTGGGATCGAGCCCCATGGGGAGCCTGCTTCTCCTTCTCCCCCTGACTGCTGCCCTCCTGCTTGTACTCTCTTTGTCAAATAAATAAATAAAATCTTAAAAAAAAAAGTAAAACTTTTTACTTAATGCTTTCAGGAATAAAGACTGTAAATGAGGGATAGGTATGTAATTTGAATTTGAATAAGTTTCACCTACTTCCACCATTTTTTAGATTATTGTGGCTGCAGCTCTATAATTGTATGTTTATTGACTTATATAATTTTCTTCTTTTTTTTTTTTTAAGATTTTATTTATTTATTTGACAGAGATCACAAGTAGGCAGAGAGGCAGGCAGAGAGAGAGAGGAGGAAGCAGGCTCTCCTTTGAGCGGAGAGCCCAATCCCAGGACACTGGGATCATGACCTGAACTGAAGGCAGAAGCTTTAACCCACTGAGCCACCCAGGCGCCCCCTCCCCCTTTTTTAAGATTTTATTTATTTATTTGTCAGGGAGAGAGCACAAGCAGGCAGAGTGGCAGGCAGAGGCAGAGAGAGAAGCAGGCTCCCTGCTGGACAAGGAGCCCGATGTGGGACTCGATCCCAGGACCCTGGGATTATGACCTGAGCCGAAGGCAGCAGCTTAACCGACTGAGCCACCCAGGCATCCTTTTTCTTTTTTTTTCTTTTTTCTTTTTTTAAGTGGGTTCCACACCCAGTGTTGGAACCCAGTGCGGGGCTTGAAATTCATGACACTGAGATCAAGACCTGAGCTGAGATCAAGAGTGGGACACTTAACCGACTGAGCCACTCAGGTCCCCAGAGTTATAAATTCTTACTATGATATTGCTGTTCTCAGAATATATCAATGAAGATGTGGATTTGGTTCAGGGGTTTCACAAAAAATTAACACCTAAGTTCTGCTTCGGCAGATTTTAAATTGATAAATATTGAAGTGTGCATATGTTTTTTTTTTTGAATTTTTAAGAATTAAGACCATCCTCAAGGAAGTTTCTTAGCAATATGGCTATCTTTTGACTTTATTTAATATTAGTTCTATGCCTAGTATATGAAAAATACTATACCAATCAGTATCCATTGCACTAGAATAAAAGGTGACAATTAGAAGTCAAACTAGGAAACTGTACTTGGGGTTTTGGTTTAGTTTTTATGATGAGATTAAAAATTTTTATATGTGGAATAGTAAATACCATAAGATAAAATTGCCATATATAATGTATTATAAAATCCTTTCATATAACCATCTTCTAGACTCACAAGTCTGTAGGAGACAGAGTTTATCATCATTTCACGGATGTGAGAGGCTAAGGGATTTCTCAAGATCCTACAAAAATTAACAAATCTGAAACAAGAACCCAAATATTTGACTCTAGCATGTAGGTTCACTTTATTTAGTCAGTAGTGACAGTTTTTACCTCTGCTTTTTTTTTTTTAAAACCTGTGCTCTGTATATCTAAAGTCATTTTTCTTTTCTACCTTAATTCTGGGCAGTATTTAATGCCTGTTTCTAATAGCAATTTAAAATAAAAATTTGATAACAAAAGTAGTTTAATGAAGCCCATGATTAAGTTAAACCAGTAGTTATAGTCATTTACCACATGAGGTCATTATATACTTGATTCTTTCCTCTTCTCTGGCTATAACCCAAGCAAAATTATTTTGATGGTGAGTCTTTGGAAAAAGGGGTTCATGAGAGGTCTTTTTTATTGCCAGAGCAAAAGCATAATCGATTAATAAATACTTCATTAAATGATATTTTATGTGTTCAAATGTTGGAGGGAAGAAATGTGCTTCTGGATTAAATATAAGCAATCAAAAGGCCTTTTAGAATTATTTTACCATAAGAAAGTCCACCATACAACTCCCTGCTGCTTCTCTGAGTGTTTGATTGAGGAATACCAGGTTTTTTTTTTTTTTTTTTTTTTTATGGAACAGTACTTGGTTAGATAATTATGCTTAAGGTTGACAAGGAATTTAATTTTCTAATGTTCACTCATTAGACTTTATATTGAGGGCTGTCTTGCCAAACTGTTTACCATTTATTTAGCAATTGTATATACAAATATTGTATATACAAATATACAAAAATACAAATATACAAATATATATTTTCACTATTCTATGGAACTACATGGAACTCAGACAGATGGTTTATTTTTCCAGGAAGAAAGATGTATTTAACAAAACTAAAACCAAGAAAGCGAATGGGTAACAGAAATAGTCAAAACCTAATCTTTGATTTACCCTTCTGCGATGTATTACATTTTTTTTAAGACTTTTTATTTGTTTGAGAGAGAGTGCGCACATGCAGGCATGCCGTGGGGGAGGGACACAAGGAGGAGGAGAGAGAGAGAGAGACCCTCTCCATCAGACTTCACACTGAGCACAGAGCCTGATGCAGCCTGGATCTCACAACCCTGGGGTCATGACCTGAGACAAAATCAGGAGTTGGTTGCTTAACTAACTGAGCCACCCAGGTGCCCCAAGATGTATGACCTCTTCATGTTAATTGGCATCACTTCAAAATGGTGGTGGTGATGCTGGTGTTTGGTGATATCGAATATATCTATATGTGTACGTAAGCACTGTTTTTACCATCGTTGCTTGTTTAAAACCAATAAGGTTCATTCGAAGGTAAAGCATCTCTTAAAACTGCTATTTTGTCCTTGCTGTTACGGTCAGCTATA